ATTCAGATCTTTTTTTTGACCCATGCACTAGACCAGATGGGTTGAAAGTTGTCTCACCTCTGAAAATGATTGTAACTCTCAGAGGATGCAACAGGATGGTATTTGAATATCAGATCTGAGGTGCTCCCCTCAAAGGGATTCACATCATTCACTGAGTCTGGCTCTGGGGCGGGATGGGAGAGATCTGTTGTGATGGCAGCTGGGCAGGTGCAATGCCGTGCTTACCATCCTCTGGGGGTCCTGCAGGTCTGATTTCTCAGTCTCATCTGGAAATGGCATTTCGGTTCACAGTCTGGGTTCTAGGAGCCAGATCCATCTCCTTTTCCTACCTTGTGTTCCCTTTTCTTCATATCCCCTCCCTTGTCCAGACCCACCCGTCTCCCTTCTTTTGGAACCCTTCCCTGCACAGTGATGTTGTTTCTCACGTGCTTTTTCTTTCCTTGTGTGGATGAGCAGAAGAAGATCATGATCATGATCTGCTGTGTTATCCTTGCGATCATCTTAGCTTCTACCATTGGGGGCATATTTGCCTGAAAAAAGGTAAGCCAGCAATGGGGAGGGTAAGGCCTACTCTGATTTGAAACTCTTGTACCCTAGGGTGTCTGGTGGGAGCAGGGTGCTGGAACAGATAGATATTGGAGAAAATTAAGGACAGCACCATGCTGCAGAAAAATGAATAGTGAAGAATGAGTTGGTAGCAGGTAGACAGAGACCTAAGGTGGCAGTCTGTCCCATTACCAGGTGTGCTAGCAGAATGCTTTGTACAGGCCAAGGATGTTGACGTCTTAATGCAAGATTTGGGCCTTGGTGTCTGGCAATGGCAAAAGGAGAAATGATTCTTGCATTGGAAGCACCCTGAACTCTTTGGAAGAGGGCCACACAGAAAGCCCAAACTGTCCTTCAGAAGGTCAGGACAAGTTAACGCAACCTTGTGGTTAGTTCCTTACACCCTTGCATAAGTGGGACTTGGTGACCTGGCCTCAAACACCATGCTTTGTCATCTCTGATTTTTAAGATAATAGATTCTTCTATTATCTTCCTCAGCCCCCGCAGGCGGATCCTCGGCTGGCATTTCTAATCCTTCTCCCACCTTT